ACTGAGTCCCCACTGATACAACCCCAGCTTCTCTTGCATCTTAAGCACTTGTAAGAACTTAATAATTTACTTGTCTATTTTTCTCTAATTTAATATCCTTTCACATCAGAAGAAACAATTAAACCATAAAAAGAGAACCTTCAGAAGTAAATAAAATCTTTGCCTCCTGCACTTAATTTATGGTGTTAATATTCACAATATACAAACAACCCAATAAGCTTAACACCAACAAAAATCAAATAACCCAATCAATAAATGGACAAAAGAACTGAGCAGACTCTTCTCAAAAGAAGAAATACAAATGATTAATTAATATATGAAAACCGTTAAACATATCTAACAATTAGAGAAGTGCAGTTTAAAACTGCCCTGATTATGAAATATTTTTAAATACAAAAATTATTGGAGAATGAGATAGAAAACATGTACGCACCATTTAGACATCTCCAACCAGGTTCTTCGTATGAAGAATGTTTTTCATCTTTAAATATCTCTTCCCTGCTTCAGTTACATGACCCTCATTTTATATGGCCAGAATCTTGTTGTGTGTCATCACCTACCTTGAACTTGTATCTAGTGTCACTGTGCATTCTACAGTCAGGCATATGGATTATGGAATATCAGTTTGGATTCCTGGGTGTTGCTCCAACTGAAAAATATGGCTTAGTAGGTTTAATGAGCTCTTCCTTCCCAACATAGATTGTATGATGGTCAACAGCCTGTGTTGGTTATTATGGATCCAGACATGATCAAAACAGTGCTAGTGAAAGAACACTATTCTGTTTTTACAAATTGGCCAGTAAGCATTCTTTTTTGTAAATTTTTTTTCTTTTTTTTAATTGATTTTTTAAAAAATAAATGACAGCAGAATGCATTACAATTCTTATTACACATATGTACCTCAATTTTTCATATCTATGGTTGTATATGAAGTATGTTGAAACCAATTCATGTCTTCATACATGTACTTTGGATAATGATGTGTATCACATTGCATCATTTTTGCTAACCCTGCCCCTTTCTTTTCCCTGCAACCCTTCTGCCCTATCTAGAGTTCATCCATTTCTCCCATGCTCCCCTTTTCTAACCCACTATGAATCAGCTTCCTTTTATCAAATAAAAAATTTGAGCATCTGTTTTTTTGGGGATTGGTTAACTTCACTTAGCATTATCTTCTCCAATGCTATCCATTTACCTACAAATGCCATGATTTCATTCTCTTTTATTGTGGAGTAAAATTCCATTGTGTATATATCCCCCCTTTT